AATTGCATATTTTGGCATTTATCCGAAGGAAAGGAACATTTATGTTCACATAAAAACCTATAAATAGTGTTCATAGCAACTTTATTGATAGTTGCCCCAGACTACAAATGATAACCCAGATTTCCTTTAACAGATGAACAGTTCAACAAACTGGTACGTTCTTGCCTTGGAATATCAGCAAACAGCAAAAAGAAACAGAGTACTGATATATTCAATGACTAAAGTGGATTTCAAAACAATTATGCTGACTGAAAAAGGCCAATCTCAAAATATTACCTAATGCATGTTTCCAAAACACCCTTGAAATTGCAAAATTATAGAGATGCAAAAGTAGATTAGAGATTGCCAAAGGTTGCCGAGAGAGGCTATGTGACAAAAGGACAACACAGGAGATCCTGGTGACAGAGCTGTTCTTCATCTTTACTGGTGCTCATCATATTTGATACAACTACATAGAAATAGATATGGCCACATATACACACATGTACACAAATGAATACATGCAAAACTGGTGAAATCTGAATCAAGTTGATGGAAGGTATCAATTTTCTTTTTGTGCTGTTGATTATGCAGATGTATTTGATTGATGGAAACTGGATGAAGGGTATAAGGGATCTTTCTGTATTATTTCTTACAACTGCATGTGATCTGTAATACCTGAAAATTTTATATATCTTTTGTATATGCCTGTGTGTATATTTGTATATATTTTACATATAAGTGTATGTATATATATAAACATATGTATCTGTATGTGAAAGTGGAAAGTGTTAGTTGCTCTGTCCAACTCTTTGAGACCCATGGACTATAGCTTGCCAGGCTCCTCTGTCCATGGGATACTCCAGGTAGGAATATGGGACTGGGTAGCCATTCTCCTGCCCACAGGCTCTTCCCGAGCCAAGAACTGAACCTGGGTCTCCTGCATTACAGATTCTTTACCGTCTGAGCCACCACGGAAGCCCATGTACATGTATGTGTGAGCTTAGTCGCTCAGTCATGTCTGACTCGGCAACCCCATGCACTGTGGCCCACTGGGCTCCTCTGTCCGTGGGGATTCTCCAGGTAGTAATACTGGAATGAGTATCTTTCCGACACAGGGATTGAACCCAGGTCTCTGGCATTGCAGGCAGATTCTTTTACCATCTGAGCCTCCAGGAAAGCCTATGTGTATGTAAATATACATACATACATATACATATAAATTTAAACTTTATGAAAAGGAAAAATTATTTTCAGATGATATAATTAAATAAGTAGAAAAAAAAGAGATTTCATTTCCATTGGCATTTTAAAGCAAATGTGATATGGTAAATAATGTAATGATTAACTCTGTGTGTATATAAAGTTATTTAGATTAAGAGTGGGAAATATTCTGTTCACAGTAACAAAACATACATGTGAGAGAAAGTTGCTCAGTTGTGTCCGACCCTTTGAGACCCCATAGACTGTAGAGTCCATGGAATTCTCCAGGCCAGAACACTGAAGTGGATAACCTTTCCCTTCTTCAGGAGATCCTCCCAACCCATGAATTGAACCCAGGTGGATTCTTTACTAGCTGAGCCACAAGGGAAACCCAAGAATACTGGAGTGGGTAGTGTATCCCTTCTCCAGGGGATCTTCCTGACCCAGGGATCCAACCGGGGTCTCCTGCATTGCAGGCAGATTCTCTACCAACTGAATTATCAGGGAAACCCAAAACAAAACATATATACTTACTAGTAAATACAATAGGAAATGTAAAGGATCTATATGAAAAGTAGAAGATGAAACAATTAGTGTATATAAAATATGAGTGAACTAAGTAGTTCTGAAAGAAGAACCTTTATATTACAAAATGTTTAGAGTTTTTCAATTCACTGTATATATGTTTTGCTATTTTAGTAAGATTTCTATTTTCGTGTGTTTTAATATAATTTTCAAGCTCATAAAAAGAATACATGTTTGAGAAATAGTATTTGAAAAGCTATTAATACTTGAAAATAAGAATTATATGGTGTGGTGTAATTGCTTTAAAGGTGTTTTTTGTTTGTTTGTTTTGTATCTGCCTAAAAGATGCAGTAAATAAAATATGTGGAGTTTACCTAGGAGCAAAATCATAGTTAATTTTTTGATTCAGTTGATAAAGATCATTTTTAATATATTGTGTTAGAATAATCTACCCTCCCATTGAAAGTTAGATCCTACCTCCCACTTTTAGCTGTATAAATTTCCTTAGATCAGCTAAATAAATGCCTATCAAATAGAGATGATGAAATATAATCATGTAAAAATTGAAAGGATTGGATTAGACAAATTATGGTATTTTTATATAATCTCAGGAAACTTTACATTGTGAAACTTATCTATAGCAAAATCCAGTCTTATTGAGATATCTCATTGAATAAATATATTTTCTGAAATCCTAATAAAATTAGCTCATTTTATTAAAATCCCAAACTCCTAAGACAGGAAATTAATTATAGAATCATGACTCTTTTTCTTTGTCAAAAAAAAAGCACTCATCCTTTTTGCTACAATATTCTCATTCCTTCATTTGTCATGCCATTCCCTTTCTCTGTATTTTGCACCCTGAAAGTAGTGTTAGTCACTTAGTCACGTCTAACTCTTTGTGACCCCACTAACTGTACTCTGTACTCTGCCAGGCTCCTTTGTCCATGGGATCCTCCAGGCAAGAATACTGGAGTGGATTGCCATTCCCTTCTCCAGAAGATTTTTCCCGTCCCAGGGATCAAACCCAGGTCTCCTGCATTGCAGGCAGATTCTTTACAATATGAGCTACAGGGAAGATCCACAAAGGAAAGATCCAGAAATGAAACCTGAAAGGCCCAGTTCATTTAACTTTAACATAAAAATGAATAGATTTTATTTTTAAGAGAAATTTTATGTTCACAGAAAAATTGAACAGAAGGTATAGAAATTTCCCTTTTACCTTCACCTGGGTAAAACCTTCTGCACTGTTATTATCCCACCCAAGATATGTCTGCTACAATTGATGAACTTATATTGACATATCATTATCAGCCAAAGTCCATATTTTACTTTAGGGTTCGCTCTTGCTTTTGTACATTCTATGTATTTGGACAAAGATATAATTACATGTATCTGGCATTATAACTTTTCATACTGTTTATAGTATTCTCAAGGCAATAATTCTGAAGTGGTTTGCCATTTCCTTCTCCAGTGGACCATGTTTTGTCAGAACTCTCCACCACGACCTGTCTGTCTTGTGTGGCCCTACATGTCTTGGTTCATAGTTTCATTGAGTTAGACAAGGCTGTGATCCATGTGATCAGTTTGGTTAGTTTTCTGTGATATTTTTAGAGTCTTCAGTGTTTACATTTTTCAATGTGTTAAGTAGTTGGAATCATACAGTATGCAGTCTCTTCAAATTGGCCTCTTTCACTTAATAATTTAAGATTCTTCCAAGATTTTCATGGTTGATAGCTTATTTCTTTTTATCACTGCATAATATCACAACATCTGGACCATAGTTTATCTGTTCACCTTCTGAAGGACATCTTGGTTGCTTCTAAGTTTTAGCAATTATGAATAAAGCTACCATAAACCTCCATGTGCAGATTTTTGTGTGGCTGTAAGTTTTCAACTCATTTGGGTAAATACCATAGAACACAGTTGTTAGATTATATGTTTAGTTTTATAAGAAACCACCAAACTGTCTTCCAAAGTATCTGTACCATTTTTCATTCCCACCAGCAATGATTGATAGTTGTTCATTTTGTTTTTCACTGAAGTCTTTTCTGATTGTTTTTGCAAGGTATTTTTCCCTCCTTTCTTTCTGTTTATACTGTACTGTATATCCTCATCATAGTCTTTCTTGCTTTGTGTGAAGCCCTTGGGACATGGAATAGATATGTCTCCTGCACCTTACAGTACTTCATTTAACACCTTGAAAATTAAGAGCCCTATTATTTATTGAATGAATAAGGTAATTTAAAATTTTATCATGTGAGACTGCCAAATGGAGCATTTTGTTTTGCAAATAATTTTATGCTAGGCTTGAATCACGTGATTCTCACTAGCCCCACTTGTTACCTATTTTTCAGTTGTTTCTGAGCAATTATTTTGTGGGTTAAATACATTCTAGACTCATGTTGAAGGAAATTGCATTTAGAGTTATTGATTCTTTGCCCCAACTTTTCTACTGGAAGAAACAAAACCTTGCTGCAATTAAGTATTAAGCCTTTAAAAAACAATTTCTAATGATGTTAGCATATATTGTTGACACTTTATTTTCAACAAGAGTTAAGGTCACAGCTGAAAGGTCACAAAGATGGTTTTATACAGTAAATAAATAATGGCATTGCTTTACAAACAAAATAAAATATCCCTAAGTTTTTTTATAGCCTTTTTCATCTAAAAACTTGCTTGCTGTGTTTAATTTTGGTGCTTAAATCATGTTCTTCTGTTTCTTAGATTTTGGAATTTAAAAGGGAAGTACACCTAGTTTATGTGTCAGGGACTAATATGAATGTACACTTTTCATTCATATTCTGGCATTGTATTACTTTTGAAATTTTTGCATTTGACTCCTAGACTCACTTAGTATTTGTTAGATGGTAATTATTTGTTGAAATTTGTCATTTATTCTGTTTACTTGGTGAACTTCCTTTCAATTTGGGAAGTTTTATTTATCATATTTTTTTATAACATTTACCTCTTTATCTTTAATATTTACAACAAAACTGTAAGTTTATCATTAGAGAGAATAAGTTGAAGTTATTTTGGAAAATAGTGAGCTAGATTATGGTTAAACAGTGAAAAATGTATCCTTTGAGGCATAATTCACTGTTTTCCTATTATATATCACAACATAAAGTCATGGAACAAACTTCTAAAGCCAAAGAATATTAGCATTGCCATTTTATATTGTTATCTTATTAAGATATGTTTTTGAAGCAAAATAGTCCAAATATTATAATTCATTAGTTTTTAAAAGTAACATGAGATAAGTGTCTAACCTAAAATTTACTTTTTTTCAGATGAACTCACAAATTCATCAGAAACCAGGTTGTCTTTAGAAGACCTCTTCAGGAAAGACTTTGTGCTTCATGACCCAGAAGCTCGGTGGATCAATGGTATGTATGTATGTTCTTATGCATTATGTTTATTTCATGTTCTGTATGGTGAAAATTAAATAATGAGATTTGTATTAATATTTTAATTGACATTATTCTTCAATGATTTTATATACCATTTAATCAGAAATGTATACCTTGGCTCTTATGAATAAAAACCTTTTCTTAAGATAAGTCTTCAATAAAATCATCCCCCAAACATTATATTGATGACTCTGTATCTGCTCTTCCCTCATAATCATTAATTATGTGACTTCAAATGCATATTATATCTCTAGCATTTCTCTAGATAATTCTCATTGGTGTAGAAGTATAGATATTGGGAGCCTATATGTCAGTGCTTCAGATTTGACAATCAAGTGAATTTTCTTTTCTCTGTAGCTTTTCTTTTTAAGTTTAAATGCCACAAACTCAGGAGACTCTAACAAAGCTGAAATGACTGAAAGAGCATGGGAACATACTGCATTTTGCCTTTTTCTGGCTTGGCTAAGAAACCGCCTCAGCTTTCTTTAGGTTATTCCTTATTTTGTTATTTTCAAAAAGTTTTAAAAAGCATTTAGATTTTAAATTAATTAATTAACTCACACCACTTAGTGGCTCCAGGGACTTTATGGGAGTTTGCGGGGGGGATTACTGTGTAATCCAGTCATAAGAAATGTGCTGGTGAAAAGTAAGTCAGGGCATTCCCCTGCGGTCCAGTGGTAATGGTTCTTGTTTCCACTGAAGTTTGCGGAGGCTCTAGCCCTGGTTGGGGAACTAAGATCATGCAGGCAGCATGATACAGCCAAAAATAAATAAAGAACTAAAAATTGTCTTTTAGAAAAGAAAGAAGGAAGTCAAATCTCCACTCCTTGAGTTTTACAGTTTGCCTAACCATACTAATCACTGTGGTTTTTGTTGTGTAGTCTCTAAGTTAAGTCTGACTCTTTTGTGACTCTGTGGGTGGGAGCCCTTCCGGGCTCTTCTGTCCATGGGATTTCCCAGACCAGAATCCTGGAGTGGGTTGTCATTTCTTTCTTTGGGGGATCTTCATGACCCAGGGATTAAAACCATGTCCTGTGTCTCCTGCATTGGCAGGTGGATTCTTTACCACCAGGACACCTGGGAAGCTCCAGTCACTTGGCTTGATAGGTTAATCTTTGCCTTTCACTTTATTTAGACATAATAAGTATATATTTTTGCTTTGTTTTCAAGGCATAGAGTAGATTATTTCAAAGCATAGAGCTTTGCCTTTTTATCTAATAAATACTGTCTTACAGTCCATCCTTTCTTCTCTAATGTCCTAATTAAGTACATTTATGTCTGCAAATTAAGTGTTAATTTATGGAAGCTATAAAAATAATGTAATTTAATTAACTAGGGCAGGGGCCAAATCATACTTGTTTACCTATCACTGGTACAGTTTTTGGAGATCAGCAAGCACTTAAGGTGATTTTTTTTTTTCTTTGAATAAATAAATGAAAGCATTTAATTGAATTTCAGTTTTATTTTTCTATAAACTCAAATTTCAGTTGAAATTGGCTGCAAGATAAATATTATCATACTGACGATATTACAAATAGAGAAACCATGATAGCAATTTTATTCATCTATTTTTGTATATTTTGATTCTGAATTCTTCATAAACTTCGGTCTTGCCATATTGTTGCCTTTGCATTATGATTATTTCGGATGTACAAAACTCTATGATTTATTTCAGATGAGTACTATTACTAAATTTTAAGAATGGATATAATTTTCTAGTATTCTTCTAATAAGTGGATCCCTCACAAACCGTTCTCCTGAAGTGCTAATGTAATTTTGCAAGTCATCTTTTTACTTGCTAGCCAGTATTTTCTATTGAAGGAGATGACCAAAAAAAATGTGAGTCATTAAATTTGAAATGCTGAATAATATGCTGTTTTCTTCACCATGATTTTGATCAAACTATTAGAAATTTGTGTAGTCTTTTACTTTGGAAAGCAAGAAAGGTCATGGGTCTCATCTCCCTTCTCAGGTTAGATTGGGTTATTTAAAAAGTCATTTACTCCTGTGTGTGACTGCACTTCAGTATCGAAGTACCAAAGGACTGGAGGGATGTTTAAGCAGTGAACCGCATGCTAAATTAGGCCATATTTCAATATTTAGGGCACACATTCTACTCTAATGCTTTACAAGATATCACAATAATATTGTTTGGAGTAAGTCATTTTAATCATTTTTTCATAATTTCTTTAACAATCATTGGTAAACCTGATTTTGAGACTATATCCTTGGATAAAGCTGCAATGTTATTATTATAGTCTAAGTAAAACCTAAAATCAATAATACTTATAAAAGAATTTGACATAAAACAACCCTTTAAACAGGATTAAGCAGAATCTAAGCTCTTAGAGGCATGCCGTCTTCATAAATCCTACTGAAGGAATTGATTCACTGTCAGTAGATTGTGTGCGCTGGGTTCTTTTCGAGCAGGAGAATAGATTTGTCTTCATTTATGCAATCCAGATCACCTTTCTGGCAATCACTGGATACTTGGCCTATTTATGTATTCCTCACAAAGTCAGAAAATACAATGGGAGCTATGAGTACAATGTGTAACCCTGGCTTCATTGTCACAGATTATGTCTAGATGTAAAATGTGAGTTTCTTTTTGCTAATAATGTTTCACCAGGATTCCAAAGTATATAAGTGGATTGAAGGAATCTAACCTATGCTTATTTGGAAACTTTAGTTAATTGTTAGGGGTCACCATATGAGTGTTTAATACATTGCTAGTGAAGGAGACTGAAGGCTTATAGATGACCCTGACATGAGTAGGCTGAAGTGCAGTAATGTCATTCATTATGCTCCTTCACCATTAGTATATATGTGAATGTCAATGCAGCCTTGGATGTGTCCTCATGTTCCTGGTTAGCAGAACGTCTGCCTTCCCCTACACCTACTCAGAAATCTGAAATCTCCATTTTTATAATGTCTTCTTCCTAGTTATGTCACCTTGAGTCCTAGACACCTATCTTCTTTAATGTTATTCATCTCCCACCTACATTTGAGGATCAATCCATCATCAAAGAAAAATCTAATATTGTGTGGCTTCTTTGCTAGGCTTTGTGCTGGATCTTTATAGATGTATTTCATGGATAGTGTGTAAGTTATAATGGTGAACTCCAGAAAACTGAGGATAAAGCAAAAAATTTTTCCAAAACACAGCTGATAAGAGCTGGAGCTTGCTTTAGTCAATATGTTCAAAGTATAGAACCTATCTTCTCTCACTGTTTCACTGAGGTGCCATTCCCAATTTTTAACACATGCAGTAATTACCTTCTTGACAGCCTCATGGTTACAGATGTCAGTGTGACTAATCCTTTCATGTTGAATATTGCAATCATGTCATTTCCCAGGTATATTCATATAATGATAACTTATGTGGTCACTAAAAGAAAATGTATAAGCATATTTATTGGTGTGTATGGTAGAAGGAGAAGAGGGCAACAGAGGATGAGATGGTTGGATGGCATCACCAATGCAATGGACATGAACTTGGGCAAACTCCAGGAGATGGTGAGGGACAGGGAATATTGGCATGCTGCAGACCATGGGTTCACAAAGAACTGGATGTGACTTGGCTACTAAAAACAACATGGTATAAAAAGCAAACAAAGATATCTTTAAAACAGAGTGAACAGTATATGGTTCACACTGTCTCTCCTGTATAACATGAATGTTGACAAATGGCTGGATTTTGACCTGATTTTTTTTTTCTTTTTTGCTTACTCATTTTTTCTAAATTTTATTTGATAAATGTGTACATTTATGTGATTTTATAACTTCTTTTTTAAATTTTTAATTCAATTTTTATTTTACAAATGAATTTTTATTTGCAAATGGATTTGTAAGTAAAGTTGTGTTTGTCTTAAGTGTACAGCAAAGAGATTTAGTTATGCATATATATATCCATTCATTTTCAGATTCTTTTCCTATATAGGTTATTATAGAATATTGACTAGAGTTCCCTGTGCTATACAGTAGGTCATTGTTGATTACCTGTTTTATATATAGAAGCACGTATATGTTAATCACAGACTGCTTCATAAATAAGAAGTTTCATGGGTCTCTAGACCTCCAGCAGTCTCCTGGCAAATATAAGGCTCAGCTAAAAATTTCAAGCTCATTTCTCAAAAAAATCAGAGGGACCCCTTTGCCAGTTGAATAAATTTCAAAGTCTTCCTGATGTATTCCAGGCCTCTCAGAATCAAGCTTGGCCTCTTTTCTACTCTTCTACTGTACATTATGTTTCAGAGATATTGAACTACTTGATATTTTGCATAGGTCTCAGATGCTCTTTTGACTGGGTACTTTTGTCCACACGATTTTCTCTACCTGGAATCCCTTCCCCAATCAGAGAACCTACCTTTTTATCCCACTTGAAACCTGATTTCCAGGTGCAAAGATAGTGACTGTTCCTTTTCCTGCCAGCAGTAAGGGACATCATCTTCCTGTAAACCCCCGAGTCTGTTCTCTCATATAGAAATTTCTGCCTTGATTATAACATATTTAACCTACTCTAAGACTGCTTCTAAAACTATTGTGAAAGACCACTATCTTAAAATTTAATAATTTGTTTTTATTTCTTATTTAGCATGAATCTATATTTTTGAAAAATACAATAAAAAGTGAATTACTAGAAAATAAAGTGATAAATAAGCATTTCATATATAGTCTCCAAATTTATCTTCTTATAATCAACCATTCAAAAATTACATTGCAAAAATATAATAAGTATCACAATAATAATGGGCTCCAAAAAAAGAAATTTAATATCCTGCTTTGTTTGAGAGAGGATCTACAGGCAACTCATAGAAAGGATTGTTATTGGTAATTTTTGTAATTCCTCAATCACAATTAAACAAATAGTGAGAGAAATAGTGATTATTCACTTTACATGCCAATTCTCAGATTTTGAACGGGAACTAGTGTGTCAACAATATTCAGAGGTTTTAATGTAGGAAATGAACTAGCTT